CATGAAAACACTTGGTCAGCCAATTCGGCCAATTTTGGCAGCGCTGTGTCTTTGTCAACAACCGACAAGACCTTCCTTATATCCCCAGGGAGGTTTTGCAACCACAACTCATTGAGGATGCTTTCATTTACCGCCTGCTTTCCTTGTAGCTGTGTCATATGTCGGAGTAGTTGAGCGGGGTTACGATCACCCAGTTCCACGCCGGCAAGTAAAACACGGAGGTTTTGATCATCGGTGGCTGCTGTTCTCTTAATCAAAGCATCTTTCAGTACATCGTATGGGTTTACATGGGGTTTCTCGTAGATGCTGTCAGCAATTTCGACGGCAGATTCAGGTGGAAGATGTGCAACAACGCAACTATACTTGGTTTGTTGTGATCTAACGCGACGGCACTCAAAATTTGCCTCTGCTTGAGGAAACCCCAGTCTAGGATGGTGAATACCGTAAGCTGGTAGTTTCAAACTCAAAATATCTTGCGAGTCCATAGGTGAATCGTTTGAATCAGACATGGTAGTAACGAGAAAAAAATAAATAAGGGGGTTCTAGGTCATCGAAGGAAGAGAAATAAAAATCAATCCTCACCAATTATGTAGTGGATAACGTTAGAAAATACCAGTTCAAAGTAGTTAAATCAAGTGAGTGAAAATAGGCGAGAAGGCACAACTCACAGTTCGTTGGTACAGTTAGTTATTACCACCACAATAAATCCAAATCGATCTCCTTCCTGGAATCTCCCTTAATATATTCCTAGATACTTTTTATCCCGTCGTAGTCTGAAAGGTAGATCACCGCTCGTTAAATCACTGACAGCGTAACTCGACAGAGCAAGAAGGGAACACGCCTTTCACGACGCACGGAATTTGTATTGTGTGTATGCATCCATATTTGTTTGCTTTCATTTAAACAAAAGTTCTTCGGTATGAAGAGAAGAGGAATAAGCTGAGATTTAGTGAGAGATAGAAAGTGGTACAATTTGAGTAACGATAAGTTACAAAGAAAGTACTAATGTACAATGGTCAAAAGATTGACCATTATTTCACTCATGATGCAAAATTTTTGACCCTCTCTGACTGCTTCCAACGAGCTGCTCGAAAATAATTTGCCGGCCTTCAACCCGTGGACTGTGAGACGAGTATCGCGGTGCTCGACTTCTCCGCCGGGGATTATCGCCTTGGAGGAGACCTAACACTTACTCATGCTTTGTTGAACAAGCTTTGGTCGACAGATTTTTCATCGCTTACCGATCAAATCAACGGAGGAGTTCTGGTAAGGTGGTTTTAATGCACAAAGTGCACAACCTTAGAAGACAACAAGTTTCCCAAATCGGGTACTTGGTACGTGGAATAACCTTCCACATACCGTTGTTTACACAGCATCTGGTACCCAGTTCACGCCAGTTTTAGACGCTCCTTTAGTTAAGTTCGCGCGCGGACAATATTACAGCCGAGCGTTCAGAACGCAAACAGCAGTACTACACAATTCTTCCGATTATACCTTTGAAATGAATGGAATACGCTGGACGGCAAGAGCAAACCATATACAGGAAACTTGGGCGAAAGCCTCCATTCTGTGTATCAATCCGTGAATCCGTGATATTATGTCTTCGTCCCGGGTTGTTTTATCACTTCAAGGTCACGTTTGGCGGCAGTGATCTAACCGAGCATGCCGAAACGTGGTAAGATTTTTTAGGGGCCCTCCGCTACATTGTTTAACTTCTGGCATCGTATACCTGAGTGAAATTTTTGTCCCTTTTTCCAAGGACGTGGTGGCTCGTCTGGTGGTAAATACCGGATATCGCTGGCCCTCCCGGTCGGTGCCGTCATCAACTGCGCGGACAATAGCGGCGCGAAAAACCTCTACATGATTGCTGCTTTCGGCATAAGAGGCCGATTGAACCGGCTACCGTCCGCTGCCACTGGGGACTTGATAGTTTGTTCGGTGAAGAAAGGAAAACCTGAATTGAGGAAGAAAGTTTTGTATGCTGTGGTTGTCCGACAGCGCAAAGCCTACAGGAGGAAAAACGGCACATTCATCTACTTCGAGGACAACGCAGGCGTGATTGTAAACAACAAAGGAGAACTCAAAGGTAAGTGGCAGTTCGTTGGTGCTTGGATCTAGGTAGTAAGGAAATGGGGTGTAGCTTGTCTCCCCTCGAGGAACTCTGCTTGTGTGGTCTGAACTTTCACGGATTGATACACAGGATCGAGGCTTTTGCCCAAGTCTCCCGGGTCGGTTTTGTTCTTGCCGGCCAGTGGCTGTCGTTCACCTGAAAGGCAAAAGTGAAAAAAGGGTGTAGCGCTGCTCTTTATGTTCTCAGCGCGGGGCAGCATGCTTGCCAGCACGAGGTTTCGCATAATTAAATGTCTAATAGTGCTTTAAACTGGGTTCCAGAAGGAGCATGGACAACCGTCGGAGGAAGGTCATCCCACGCAGCTACTACCCGAAATGAGAAAAAATTTTATCTAATGAATGTGCGCTCTGAGCTTGAAAATTTTCTGTCCTCGCCGTTTGTTTGCTGGGTCAACGGTGAAAAGTCTGTCGGCCAAGCTTTATTGAAACAGGGCATAAGTAAGAATTAGGTCCCCTCGGAGGCGACGGTACTCCAGGGGAAGGAGATCAAGCATCGCGAGACGCGTTTCGTAGTCCACGGATTCGAGGCCGGCAACCATTCTAGTAGCGGCTCGCTCAATGACGGTGACGTCTTCCTTGCGTCCTGAATAGACAACTTGGTTGGCGTATTATAAGAGCGGTCTGATGTAGGCCTCATAGAGTGTTTGGAAGTCCATACGAGTAATACGGGAAAATGTGCGTCGGATCATCTGTTGCTAAGCTCAGTCTTTGCCAATACCACAGCACTGTATGTTTTTCATGACGGCTTGAAAACGCCTTGCCATCACGATGACTTATTTCCTGTGACAGTAGCCTACCTGCCAGTAGCCTCTGATGGCACTAAAAATGAGGTCAGCAGGTGTTAACTACCCCAGAATCCTCTTTGTTTATGTGTGTTTGCTCTGGTAGTAGGGAAATGGGTTTCAGGATAGATTGTAAGCTTCTGTAAGCTATCGTTGTGAACCGCTGAGTGCAGGGACCTGGAACAAAATTCTACTCTACCTTTCGAGATGGCCCAAGTGGTTAGAGCGCGAATTTACTGACCGGAAGGTTCGTGGTTCGAATCCGATCTCCGCCATTCGACTTCCCTTGTCTAGGCTTGGGCAACCTGGCAGTATCCTAGCCCTCGTGCTTCCTTCGGGTGGCATAGCAGCTAGGCACCGGAAGGGTGCTACAGCTGAACGCTTTCTTTCTACCTTTCGAGTCAGACTTTTGAGTCCAGCCCAAGGTGGGGTACATCACAGAAAACCCTTCGGCATGAGCAACCGCGAAGCAACACTTGCCCAGACGTTTGAGAAGTAGCACCTAGTTCCTTCGATTTGTTCATTATCATTAATTATTGTCAGATGTAGTAACCGCATGCTTGTGCGGTGATTGATTTTAACTCAAGCACGTGACAAAACAACCTGTGGCCAAACGTTTGTGGGTCTTTGGGTTCATCGTCACTTAGCCTTACACCCAGAAGAATAAAATCCAAACATGTATTGAAATTCCAAGGGTTCTGCTCAGAGTAGTAGGACTTAGTTTCCGTACGCTTATCTGAATAGGTCACATTCTTTACTCTTTAAAAGTAGGTATGTTTTGCACCCGAGACGCGTACAGGATCCTACCTTGGTAGACTTTCTGGAATCGGTTGAAAACAGCTTAGCTTACGGTTTACTCCCCAGATCAGATCAGTTTGATCGCTGAACACCGCCGGCTTCTGACAATAGGCAGTCGAACGCAGCTATCACCATCGAGAAGTTGATAAACGTTGGATTTTTGGAAGTGGCGCTTTTGAAGAACTTTTCTTAAGACAAACAAAATGAATCGTTCATCTGTAGCACCCTTCCGGTGCCTGACTGCTATGCTACCCAAAGGAAGCGCGAGGACTTGGATACTGTCACGTTACCCAAACCTAGACAGGAGAAGTCGAGATGCAGAGGTCGGGTTTGAAACACGGATCTTCGGGTCAGTAAATTCGCGCTCTAGCCACCTAGCCATCTCGCCCCTTGATGAAATGGTCGATATATCCTTGACTAGGGCTAAAGTCAGCTTCATCCTCACGAGTTTGTCCATCCTCAGGGTTAATCAATCAGCACAAAAGGATGGCAGAGTCCATGTTGGATGCCATGATGCGATGATGGCGTTTGCATGACGTTGTTAGCCGTTTTGGAATTTGACAAGCAGGTCTGAGGTGCTCCATTCCACTACATTGCGCTTTGGTTCCAAATCCTATGCAGTACGATCGTCCACTTACGAACGGTTCACTAGCTTTGAAAAGTGTGGGCTGTCTTGTCGCAATCGTTTTCTACTTACGGCGGGATATCATTCTTCTGTTTGGGCCCATCGCTGAAGGCGACGATTTTGCGAGTGAATTATCATCTTTTCCTCAATTTTTCTGACATCTTTTGATCGGTTGGTCAGATCAGCTGAATCGGTGCGGCTGTTACGTGCTGCGAAAGGCTTGCTCTCCCCATGGTCCTTCTCAGCCCACTAGCGTTCCCTGTCAACCTTCAGGCCGTTGATTAACTGGTTTTCCAGGGTTCTGCGTTCACCATCGTCGCTGGTTACTGGTATGGCCTTTCTGGGAGGAATAGGATCTGATCTCGGCGATGTTCAATGTTCTTTTCGGCTATGTGCAATCAGACTGATCGAGTTTGTCAGGGTCTGCAACCAACAAACCCATACCCGAAATCCGTTCGTTATCTATACATACACCCCAACAAACTGCAGCATTGATAGTGTCAGCTAGATGGATGTGTGCGGTCCCATCCACGTAGGAAGGGAAATTTAGAACTACTCGCCACGGTTTATCCATGCGTCGGCCATATGGGGTCTGTGGAATAAATTGCATTGCCTGAAGGGAATCTGGCAACAGGAGCAATTGTCTACCCTCCTGCGCCACGGTTCATGCGTCGGCCATATGGGGTCTGTGGAATAAATTGCATTGCCTGAAGGGAATCTGGCAACAGGAGCAATTGTCTACCCTCCTGGTCTTTTCTAAGGGCCCGACCTAAAGCTGCCACCTTGACGTGGTGGTCGGGCTTCAGTGCTGCAATGATTCCGCGGGCTACACTGGCTGGAACTTCGTTCCACAAGGTGCAACCATGCCAGGAAGGCCAAAGGGGAGCAGCCAGACCAAGAGCAGTGAGACTCCGTACTACGAGTAACCGTGCTACGAGGCGGTCTGGGGGTAAAGTCGTACTGTCCTCTGCGACAGGATTGTGAAGGCAGTAAGGTGTTTCCCCCAGGCGACCAGCATGTCCATATTTATGGAAGCAGCGATGCTGCCTTCCCCCGAGGAAGGACG